GTAGGTGATAGTCTGATGGGGTTGGGGCAGGGAGTTCCAAAGGATGGGTGACACCCTGGAGAAGTCCTGGAGGCGGGCATGGGAAGAGGAGACCAGGGAACTAGAGAGAAGGAGGTCTTGTGAGGAGCGGAGTGTGCGTGTTGGGGTGGTACTTGGATATTAGGTCGGTGATGTAGTTCGGGGCAGTATGGTGGACGGCTTTAGGTGGAGTCTGCACAAGTTTGTTAATCAGAATGGAGTGATGTTTGATGGCCTTTTTGGCCTTCTGGTCATAGGAAATATTCAATGTTTTGATCCAAAGTGTCACTGCCTGAGCTAAAAACTAAAGTTTCGGACTCTGCCTCCTCCCCACTTTATGCACTCAGTTGTATCGCTCTCATCACAAAGAATTATTGCTGCTGTTCAGCAGCTCCTCTTATATGAAATCATTGCCCCAGTTATGAGTGGGGAACACTTTTAGAGTTTCCATTCAAACCTGTTCAGTTTCCAAACCAAATGGAGGAGTTTGAACTATGCTGGATCTGAAGACTCTAAACCTGTTGTGGGTTTTAAAAATTTTGCAAGGAGTTGGCTATGTCAGTCTGTGCCTTCTCCTGAAAGATATCTTCTGACCTTGGTGGACATCAGGGATGCTTATCTGCATATTCCAATTTTTTCATCCTCAACGTTATCTGAATTTTGCAGTTTGTGTGTTTTTTTTTTTTTTTTTTTTTTTTTTTTTTTTTTTTTTTTTTTCTTTTGGCCTATCCACAACCCCATGGTCTGGTGTTTGTATGCTGTGTGGTCCACCCCTCAGTTGGACTACTTCTGGAAATCTTCACCAAGACACTTGGCCAGGTCTCTCTTCTCTGTTCTCAGGTAATACACATTGTGGGTTACCTGGATGCTCTCCTGCTAAATGAGTAGTCTTTCCTATCTCTGTCAGCCAATGTGCACCCTCAGTCTTTGAAAGTTTTGACTGGATTGGACACTGTTTTGGATACCTGTTCCTGATATGAGATACAGCCCTCTCCAAAACTTTTGCATTCTGGGACAAACAATCTGTCTCTGTTCTTATGCCGGAGCCCATTGGTCCCAGGGTTGACCTTTGTGCCTGCATGAGGGTGTTGGAACTGATGGTAGCCTCCTTCGAGGCAGTGCCGTATGCCCAGTCTCTGTCTGGACCATAGCAACCCAACCTTCTGGCAGTGGGGGACAAACAGACTTGGTGTTTTGAGAGTGCCATGTGTCTGACCTGCAAAACCAGACTTTCCATAGTGCGGTGGAATTCTAGTCTGGTGCTAGGGTCAGTAAAACCTTTTCCTCCAAATGTGTGGAAAGTTCTCATGATGGATATCAACCAGCCAAAATACCTTCTCAGTGCAGGAGATGTGGGGACAGAGGAACAGGATGGAGAAGACTTGATTTCCCATCAACATTCTGGAACTCAGGTCAAATCAGTTGTCCCTTCAACACTGGACCCCTCATTTGCAATGTTGCCTAACAAGAATCTAGTCGGAAAAAGCCATGGCTGTTGACTACAACAACCATCAGGGGGCACCAGATGTTGTTCTGATAAAGAGGAAAGAGACTTGAACCTTTTTTGGGCAGAGCTGTATGTTCCAGCACTGTGTGCTGTCTAAATTCCAGGTAAGGAAAATTGTCGGTGAACTTTTTTAGCATCAGCCTCCAGATCCAGGGGAATGGGCTCTCCATCTTGAGGTGTCTCAAGCCTTTAGATAAAGGTGGGGTTACATCATGTGGATCTTCTGGCATCCAGATTCAACAACAAACTCCAGTTTTTTTTCGCCAGAGATGCCACTTTGTGGGATCCGTTCCATCTAATTCATGCCTTTCCAACTTTTTCCTCATCTGCTCCACAGGTTTGAGATAGAGGACATTCCTATGAGTCTCATAACACCAAAGAGGTGTGGGCCAAGAGGACATGGTAGCTGAACACACTAAGACCCCTGGCATAACTTGTGCCGGTACACCATCCTGCTTTGCAGTCACTGGCTTCAATGGCATAGCTGTTGAAACCCAGGCCCTGAGGAGCAGACCTGTTGGGTTCCATCACCCCTACCCTTTTGAAGGCTATGAAGTCAACTTCTCATAAGGTCTAACATTGCACCTGGAAAGCCTATTTTGTGTACTGTGAGAACCGGAAACTTCATGTAGGGCTCCTTGCTTCTCTGTCATTGCTAAGTGGACAGGACATCATGCAAGCCTATGGCCTAAAGCATAGGGATCCTCCCTTCCCTCTTAAGGTGCACTTCACTGGAACCATTAGAACTTCTTGTGTATTTCAGCACCAAACATCTGTGTCACATATTTGCAAGGTGCCTCCTGGTTTTCTTGGAAGCAGTATCATGGTTGTAGTGACCATAACCACCTTTTGACCATGGCAGGTTGGTAGGGTGGATGGTGGGATGGAGCATCTGCCAGCAGACAGTGTGAACACTTTTAGGGTAAGTGAGGGGAACATGTAGATTTAAACAGAGATAAGTATGAGGGATCCACTGATATCAGCAGACTTGTGTCTGGGCAGAGAGTTTTCAGCTACACTTCACCTTTTTGTAATATTGTTGAGGAATCCACAATAGCATGTCAGCTGCAGAGATAAACTGTATCAAACCAGAGAACAAAAATATAATATATTGCAGCTTAGCAGTCCTTAGGTGTGGTGACTGCATTGGTTTTCTTATTTCAGTGTGAGTACTAGAGCTAGCACTCTATTCCTTGTATCTGGGCACTGTGCTGGTCATACATGAATTAGCTGGCACATTCTCCCTGTGCTTGCCTAGGTCATGATGGCTTCCCCACCTCCTAAGTGCTTTTAGTCCCCAGGACAAAAAATGCTATACAAATTAAAAATTAAATCGTCAAATTAAATTGGGACTGTCCTTATTCTGATCATTTCAGATCCGGTTCTCATCTCCAACATCACCAGTAATGGCAGCCGGCTGGGTGAGGACATGGCGGTGAGCGTCCAGTTCTCTGGAGAAGAGAGCGCTGTGACCTGGGAGGTGGACGGGGAGCCTCTCCCTGAAAGATACCGGCTGATAGATGACAATAGGACGCTGATTATCCCCAGTGTGCAGAGAGACGACGCCGAGAGGAGATTCCGGGTCAGGATCACCAACCCGGTCAGTGAGGAGATCCGGGAATACCGGCCGATCAATGATATAATGTTCATCAGAATGCTGGAAGCAGAAGGTATTGGTGACTATGGGGGGTCATGTTATATTCCATGTATTGGGGTGTTATAGATCGGGGTCATCCTGTCTCCTCTTCTCTGGGGGGTCATAGTGGGAGGGTGACACAGGATAGTAACATTGTGTCATGTTGTCTCTTCTCTGCTCTCCTGATGGAGGATTAGACAGGTGAGATGTCACATGACCACCAACAATACAGACTGATACATTGTATATTTATCATATGTGTATCTAAATCTTTTATACGTTGTGTCTACATTCCATTTACTTTCTCACAGATTTGAAGCCATATAGAGGAAGGATGGTCTCATTGCTGCTCTCATGCTGACTCATTTTCTATTGAGGAGCAGTGATTGTTTCTTCTATATGTCAGGTAAGTGATATTTCTTCCTCTCAGTAATACATTATTACACAGATGAGAGTAGTAAGTTGTCGATGCAGTAGGAGTAAATAACATACCCGGGCATCAGTGGGAGGAAAAATGCTCCTATGTCAGTGGTGAACCTTCTGTCTCTGGCTGGGGGTCTTTTCCCTGTCTCTGTATCCATCCTTCTGTCTCTGGTGGGTCCGTCCCTCCACTATCCATCCTTCTGTCTCTGGTGGGTCTGTCCCTCCACTATCCATCCTTCTGTCTCTGGTGGGTCTGTCCCTCCACTATCCATCCTTCTGTCTCTGGTGGGTCTGTCCCTCCTCTATCCATCCTTCTGTCTCTGCGGGATCTGTTCATCCTTCGTCTCCGTCCTTCCTCTGTTCATGCCTGCTGTGTTTGTCCATCCCTCCTCTGTCCATCCTTCTGTCTCTGCTGGGTCTGTCCCTCCTCTGTCCATCCTTCTGTCTCTGCTGGGTCCGTCCCTCCTCTGTCCATCCTTCTGTCTCTGGTTGGGTTTGTCCCCCTCTGTTTATCCTCTGTTTATCCTTCTATCTCTGTGGGTTTGTCCCTCCTCTGTCCATCCTTCTGTCTCTGGTGGGTCTTTCCCTCCTCTGTCCATCCTTCTGTCTCTTTGTCTGTCCCTCTCTGTTTCTGGTGGGTCTTTCCCTCTTCCTCCATTCTGTTTCTGTCTCTGGTGGGTCTGTTCCTCCTCTGTCCATCCTTCTGTCTCTAGTGGATCTGTCCTCCCTCCTTTGTTCATCCTTCTATATGTACCTGGAGTTGGGGCATCTGGCATAGTCCTGCAGGGTATATGGGCACATATTGGGATTCCATTACATGTAGGGCTTTTACCATTGCAGAAGCCTGTCTACAGCAACCAGTGAGCTGAAAAAGGGTTTCCTAAAATGTGATTTGTTCTTCACCAAATATCCATAATAGGGCCTCACCACTTACTTTTTCACAAGCCTTATTCTCTTCTGAGCAGCTCCATCCCATCAGACACAGATTCCTCCCTGGCATGTTTCACCCTGATGTAGGACTTGTAGAGGACTTTACAATTATGCCCTACAATAGGACGAAACATGTTGGGGAGGAGCCATTGTCCAATGGGATGTTGTTGCTCAGAAGAGAATAAAGCTTGTTGAAAAAAAAAAAAAAATGGTGTTGGTGCAACCCTCTTTTTGGCTTTTGAATCTTTCTTGGGCGTGAGATGCATCCTGATGGGCCTTAGAAAACTTATGACTGGTTTTCGTGGGGCACATTGTCATCCAAGGAGTGGAGTCATGGGTGTGAGTCTCCTGTGAGACTCTTCATCAAAGTCATCGCACTCAGTAGACAGACATAAGTAATGAACGCATACTATTTCACATCTGATATATTGATACGCCATATATTTCGTGAGTAAATGTTTTACTGATTATGGAACCTCCATTATTGGTGATTACTAAATGTTTTCTGTATCTTTAGAGGATACAATGTATTTTGTTCACTCCTTTTTTCAAAGCTATTTCTGTTAATGTGTTACATTTGGAGTGTTCTTCTTGCGCAGCTTGTGGATCACAGCTCAGTATTTCAGTGGGATTGATTTCAGGACTATCTATAATGTGGAATTGTTGTTTTAGCTCCTCTATTGATTTACTTGGTTATGATTTATCACTTTCAAAAATCAATTTCTTTTGAAGGTGGCCAATCAATGATTGTTATTTGGCTGGTTTAGAAGGGACCGGCCAGATTTTGTTCAGAGTATGGCTGCCTCGGCTTGAGAGAAGTTGATTTTTGATCATGGGACATGCTGGGAAAATTTTTTTTTTTTTTCAGCAGGTGCTGCAGCTGCTGATTGGTGTATTCTGGCAGCAGCTCCCACTGTCAGAATGCAATGTCACGGGGGCAGGGGGGAATCCTTCACCCACTCCTCCATCCATCCATCTCATTTGTGTGGATGGAGGAATATGTTCAGTCTAGGCGGTAATGCTTCTTGCCCTTCTGAAAAGTAAACTATGGTGGATCACTTTTCAGAGGGTGGTATAGCAGTGGTGGCACAGGTTCAGGAGGCACTACTGTCAAATGGTAATCTTACTTTGCAGGACCACGCTGCAACTGCAAGCCAAGTGTAAAAAGTCGAATTTGGTGTGGTCGCATAATGTGACCCTGTCAGGCTGTAGTATCAGAATTCCAGAGGGCAGCAAAACTGCGGCTCAGCCACCTATTTGTACCTCTCCTCGGCTGCCAGTGTGAAAAGCCCTTGGTTTTTTATCATTCTGGTTGCTGGCACCCATATACTACTATAGTGTTTTTCTGGCACAACTTGGAGTTAACAGATCCCTCAGTTTATATAGGTTCTAAGCTCTAAGGCAAAAAAAATCATCTCCATATAATTTGGCTTCCTTCACCATGCTTCACAGTTGGGATTGAAGATTCAGTGCTGATCTACGATGATTTGTTTTATCCAAAATGCTGTGCACATATTTGCCAAATTGTTCAAATTGTGCCATCATTCCTGTGCTGTGGAAGATCAAAGTGTTTTATATGGGACTTGTATGGGAAAGCCGTGTTAGTGTGAGCAGTGCTGGTTCTCATTATATTATTGTGGCTTCGATAAAACGGTCTGTATTGCGGTTCTATGATAAAGATCCGACAACATGTTATTCACAACACTTTCTCTCTATTATTTCTTCCTATATTGGTGCACTTTGGATGTGTTTTGGATCACTCAGCCCCTGTCACTGTCCATCTGGGGGGTCATCTACTATGTGGAGGGTCAGAAAACTTCCCATAGATTAATACATGGTGAAAGTCCCTATAGGGACAGTGAGTGTATGACTAAAGGCTGAATACTGTTTTAGAAAGTAAAGTCATGTAATGGAGTGCATGGAGGTGATCAGGGATGGGGAGGGCCATCAGAATGTCTTGGGGGGGATCCCGGCTTGGCTGCCCTTATCTGATGTAGTGAACACCCCAGTAGTCACATGACCAGGGACAGTCAGTAAAGAATGAGGTGTCACTGCTCTAAATCCTCTGTGATCTGTGAGGATATTCTGTATTATTATCTGACCTTTCATCCTTGGTTTTATATTCTCAGAGACCTCGCAGGAAGAGAGAGGAGCGCAATGTGACCTTGCAGACTGAACCTCCAAATGACATGGAGGGAGGGGCTGTGACCACTCAGGAGAATGGACCTCTGCTTGTTGTCATCCAGAATGGGGCTGGGCCCACTATACAGAATGGATATGTGCCCATTGTAGAATATGGACCGGATCACAACCAAGCAAGTCCAAGTACTTGACAGATCAGAAGAGAATGCAGAGCATGAAGGTTTGAGAGGATTGAAAGTCCTTTTTGCTTTTTTGGGGTTTTTTTGCACTTAACACTGACAAATGGTTGCACATACATATCTGAAAACTGTTACAAGAGACAATTCTGCTCATCTACTCCCATGATCCAGCACCCCTGACGGGTAACATAGTCAGGTCAGTGACTTCCCTTTTCTCCATTGTAATTAAGCAGTACAGTGTGATCACCCCCTTCCCGTGGCTGGAAAATTATTATTATTATTATTATTATACAGTATTTATAAAGCGCCAATAGTTCGCTCAGCGCTGTACATTACAAAGGGGGACAGAACATGTGACAGAACAATACCAATACAATGTGATACACGAGGGTTTCGAGGGCCCTGCTCTTTCGAGCTTACAATCTAGGAGGGAGGGGATGGTGGCACAGGAGGAGATAGCTGTGGGGGATGGAGTGGTAGGAAGAGTGGAGGAGGTCGGCAAGTTAGCAGGGGGTGGGGTAGGCTTCCCTGAAGAGATGGGTTTTCAGGGTGCGCCTAAAGGAGAGGAGAGTAGGTGATAATCTGATGGGTTGGGGCAGGGAGTTCCAGAGGATGGGTGACACCCTGGAGAAGTCCTGGAGGCGGGCATGGGAGGAGGAGACCAGGGAACTAGAGAGAAGGAGGTCTTGTGAGGAGCGGACTGTGCGTGTTGGGCGGTACTTGGATATTAGGTCAGTGATGTAGTTCGGGGTAGTATGGTGGACGGCTTTGTACGTCAGTGTTAGGATTTTGAATTTGATCTGTTGCGCAATCGGAAGCCAGTGGAGGGATTGGCAGAGGGGGGTGGCGGATACAGAGCGGTTGGAAAGGTGAATGAGTCTGGCAGCTGTATTCAGGATGGACTGAAGCGGGGATAGCCAGCGGCGAGGCAGGCCAGTGAGGAGGGAGTTGCAGTAGTCGAGTCGTGATATGATGAGGGAGGGGATGAGCTGTTTAGTGGTTTCTAGGGTTAGGAACGTGCGGATTTTGGCGATGTTGCGGAGGTGGAGCCTGCACGAGTTTGTTAAAGATTGGACTTGGGGCTGGAAGGATAGGTTGGAGTCCAGAATGACACCCAGTACTCTGGCCTGCAGGGCGGGTTTGATGGTATGGTAGCGTTGTTGGATGTGACGGAGAAATCAATGGGGGGGTGGTGTCCGGGCTGGGGGGAAGACAAGAAACTCGGTTTTGGAGAGGTTCAATTTAAGGAAGTGGAGCGACATCCAGTCTGATATGTCGCTCAGTAGGTGTGTGATTCGGGCTGAGACCAAGGGGGTGAGGTGGGGGGTTGAGAGATAGATTTGTGTGTCGTCGGCATAGAGGTGGTAGTTGAAGCCGTGAGAGTGTATGAGTTGGCCAAGGGAGGAGGTATAGATGGAGAAGAGAAGGGGCCCAAGGACAGAGCCTTGAGGGACCCCAACAGAGAGGGGGAGTGAGGGGGAGTTGGTAGCATTATAGGTAACGCTGAAGGAGCGTTGTGAAAGGTAGGATGAGAGCCAGGAGAGAGCAGAATCTCTGAGGCCAAGGGAGTGTAGTTTTTTGAGGAGGAGGGGGCGGTCGACTGTGTCGAAGGCTGCAGAGAGGTCAAGGAGTAGGAGCACTGAATAGTGGACATTAGCTTTGGCGGTTAGCAGGTCGTTGGAGAGTTTGAGTAAGGCAGTTTCGGTGGAGTGTAGGGGACGGAAGCCGGACTGTAGGGGATCGAGGAGGTTGTTGTCGTTGAGGTGAGACCATAGGCAGGTGTAGACTAGGCGCTCGAGGCGTTTAGATGTAAATGGGAGCAGGGAGATGGGTCTGAGGTTGTTCGGGTCATTGGGGTCCAGGGAGGGCTTTTTAAGTATGGGGGTGATGTGTGCATGTTTCAGAGGGGAGGGGAAAGTGCCTGAGTAGAGGGAGAGATTGAAGATGTGGGTGAGGGAGCGTAGGATGGAGGAGGAGGAAGGTCGTAGGAGTTGTGAGGGGATAGGGGTCGAGGGGGCAGGTGGTGAGGTGGGCATCAGAGAGGATCTTGGAGACTTCCTCGATGGTAGTAAGGTCAAAGGTGCGGAGTGTGGGGGGAGCTTCAGTATGAGGAATGTAGGGTGGGGTGGAAGAGGAGGTCAGAGCAGTGGTGGGGCCGTGGGAGAGGGGTGATGAGGGGGTAGCTGAGTGAGGGTGAAGAAGGGGGTTGGGAGAGAGTTTGAGCAGCGACGAAGGCCCTGCGGGTTATGTCGAGGGGGAGGGGGGATAAGGGGGTAGCTGTGTGAGAGGGGGCAGTTGAGAGGGTGTGTGAGTTGCGGCAATGTCCTTGCGAATTGTGTCAATCTTGTTTTTGAAGTGATTGGCAATCTCAAGGGCAGTGAGTGAGGTGCTGGGTGGAGGTGGGGGTGGAGAGAGTAGAGAGTTGAAGGCAGAGAAGAGTCGGCGAGGATTGGAGGAGAGGGCCTTGATGAGGGTCAGGAAGTAGGCTTGTTTGGCAGATGGGGGGGGGGAGGTGTAGGTGTGGAAGGCAGATTTGTAGCAGGTGAAGGCTTGTTGGGATTTGGTTTTGCGCCATAGTCGCTCCAGGGCACGACTTTGTTGTTTGAGGGTTTTGTTGTGATCAGTCTGCCAGGGCTGGAGCGGTCGGAGTCTGATGTTGCGTGTGGTTAAAGGCGCTAGTGAGTCAAGGGCTGTTGACAGCGCGTTGTTGTAGGCGGTCAAAGCCAAGTCAGGGCAGGACAGGGGGAGGATGCGGTCGTGGAGTTGATCAGCTGCAGAGTGGAGGGAGGCAGGGTTAAGGTTGCGGAGGTTACGACTGGTAGTAGTGTGACATTTGGAGGGGTAGGCGTTGGAGGACGAGGAGATAGAGAAGGTGATCAGGTTGTGGTCAGAGAGAGGGAAGGGGGTGTTAGTGAGGTTGTGGGGAGCGCAGCGGTTGGAGAAGACAAGGTCCAGGATATTTCCTGAAGAAGTTCATCCCATTGATGAGATCAAGAAGCTCCTGTGTGGGTGACAGTACTCTGAAATACAACAGAGCCCACCATTCATATACTCGGCTAGATGCAGGAATTTGGATGTCACCACTATTCATAACCTGCAGCTTTCTGTGTCACTGCTCCTCCCCCACCCTGATCAGTGGTAATATATGAGCATGAACAGAGCACTTATTAAATGCTAGAATGGCAATGAGGTGTAGGGTTTGTGTACACATATATATGATGATTATAAATGTCTTCTTATCTCAGAGGAAGGCTGGAACTGAATCTCTGGAAGACTTGGAATATTATTTCACATGTATCAAAAATGTGGAAATTGCAGTTCAATGTTTCTAAATGTAAAATAATTCACCTAGAGAGCAGAATCCTGTGAGAGAGAACAACATTGGGGTACGTTGTTGGCCAGCACTGCAGAGGAAAGGAACTTGGGGGCACTTATTTCAGATGATTGAAAAATGAGCAAATCGTGTGACCAGGCAGTGGGGAAGGTGAATAGAATTCTAGGATGCCTCACTAGAGGGGTCACCAGAGGAGGAAGGAGGTCCTGATTCCTCTATATAGATCTATATATCACTAGAGGGGTCACCGGCAGGAGGAAGGAGGTCCTGATTCCTCTATATAGATCTTTATATCACTAGAGGGGTCACCGGCAGGAGGAAGGAGGACCTGATTCCTCTATATAGATCTATCACTAGAGGGGTCACCGGCAGGAGGAAGGAGGTCCTGATTCCTCTATATAGATCTTTATATCACTAGAGGGGTCACGGCAGGAGGAAGGAGGTCCTGATTCCTCTATATAGATCACTAGAGGGGTCATCAGCAGTAGGAAGGAGGTCCTGATTCCTCTATATAGATCTTTATATCACTAGAGGGGTCACCGGCAGGAGGAAGGAGGTCCTGATTCCTCTATATAGATCACTAGAGGGGTCATCAGCAGTAGGAAGGAGGTCCTGATTCCTCTATATAGATCTTTATATCACTAGAGGGGTCACCGGCAGGAGGAAGGAGGTCCTGATTCCTCTATATAGATCACTAGAGGGGTCATCAGCAGTAGGAAGGAGGTTCTGATTCCTCTATATAGATCTTCAGTTGGACCTCATTTAGAATACTGGGTCCAGTTCTGGAGATCTCACTTACAAAAGGATACTGATAAGATAGAACGAGTCCAGAGACGGGGAACAGAAATAGTGAAAGGTCGGGGGGATAAAACATATCAAGAGGAACTTCAGGAATTTACCATGTCCAGTCTGGAGGACAGAAGGGAAAGGGGAGACATGATTGAGACCTTTAAATACATCAAAGGGGTGAATAAGGTTCAGGAGGGCAGGATGATCAACACGAAACCAAAATGAAGAACACGAGGACAGGACCTCCAACTAACTGGAGGAACGTTCAGAACTAATCTCAGACAGTTCTTATTTCACTGACAGAGTAGTGGATGCCGGGAATAAACGTCCAGCAGAGGTAGTGAGCCAGTCAGCAGTAACTAGCTTCAACCATGCGTGGGACAAGTACAGATCTATACTCTGATGAAGAAGTAAAAAAAAGTAAAAAAAGAAACAAAATAAAAAGCCAAAACAAACGCCTTCACTTTTCTATGTTTCTATCCTGAATGTATTTTTGTATTTATAAATAAAGTAATATATTTAGACATTTTCTTCAATGTATTTCATTTAAAGTTTTCCAATACAAAATAAGAGACAGTTTTGTATATTATTATTATAACCACTTCATCTCCGGAAGGTTTTACCCCCTTCATGACCAGACCATTTATTTTGCTATTTAGTACTGCGCTACTTTAACTGTAAATTGCACAGTCATGCAATGTTGTGTACAAATGCAATTGATATCATTTTTTTCGCACAAAACTTTCTTTCAGTGATATTTGATCATCGCTGGGTTTTTATTTTTTATTAACAAAAAAAAGTTTGGGGAAAAAAACCCGATTTATGTTCTACTTTCTGTTTTTAAAAGCTATCTAATGAAAATAAACAAATTTGTTCATAAATTTAAGCCACAATGTATTCTGCTACATGTCTTTGGTAAGACAA